AGATCGTTCACCGATCCGGGACCCGATCGTCGTTTGAGTCACGTTTTAGGTGGTCACGATTTATTCTGCCCGTGACACCATGCTGTCTATTTGTGTCAATATTTGCGATAGTATTGCTTATTATAGGACTATTATACGAACTTTTTCCCGAAATTAAACTCTTTAAATTTTTGTTAATATCGATTATTTATCATACACTATAATCTATGAAATCTGTGAACGTATATTATGTTATAATCCCGAAGCTTTTTAGACATAGAAAATAAGATATAATCCCGAAGCTTTTTAGACATAAAAAATAAGATAAGATAGTTCGATATTAATTAAATCACTAAAATTTATTAACTGATGCACGTACTTACAGTATTTTATTCAATATAACAAATATAAATATAAAAACGTCATATAAAAACGTCAAATATAAAAACTTAATATAAAAAAGATGATTTTTTTAAAAGTTTTCTCTGGCGCAAAATTTGTTGTACATTATGTACCGTTACTCAAAACATCAGAAAAAATATTTTATAAATTCACCGGTTTTTTTTTTAATAAAAAAAATTTTATGTGAATTTTGTAAAAAAATCATTCTTGTGACATGAATAGCGAAGAACGTATAATTCCAATTTCTATGGAAACGAAAGATTATAATGTAAAAGAACATAATGAATCAAATGATCGTGAAACGAATATAGAAATTCTTCCAGAAACAAAAGATTATGTAAAAAAGCCTAATGAATCAAATGATCATAAAACTAATATAAAAAATCATAGGAAATCAATTGATTATATTTTTACTTCTTAGTATATGGGAGATACCGGCAACACTTATGTTGTTACTTATAGTAAAAAATATAATTCAATTCTTGATAGTCAATTGATAACATTGAAAATGATGGTCATGGACAACAACAACCCGATGAATTTTATGAGCTTGATAAGCAATACGAAATAATGTCATTTGCTCTATATTATGAGCTTAAAGAGCCATATAAGAAATTTTTTCATTATGTTTAAAAGTTGGAAGTAATGATTTTTATAAACTATGTAGGTATTAATTTATTTTGACGTAAAAATAATAATTTATATTTATGTTTAATCAATAATTTATATTTTAATTTCAATTATAGGTCTTATTAAAAACCACGATTTTTTGAACTAGAGCATTCCTATTGTGATGATGTTTATGGACAATACACTACAGATTTCCTTTGAAATGATGATTTAATTCTAGTATCACCATGTGATCTCAAAATTTACAAGTATATAACAAAATATATGCCAAAAATACAGCAACTTTAAAATATTCAGAAATTTATGGCATAGAGATTCCCAGAAGCTTACATGATGAATATACATATGTATTTAGTTCTATATATCAAGGAAAGTTATTTTTAATTATTCAAAGACATAAAACATCAATACCCTAATTTGATCTATTGAAATTGACTCTATATAGGCGATACAATTCACTTATACATGAAATAGTAGATTTAAATAGTCAATGCAGACCACATTTTCATTACGACTCTGCAGTAATAATGAATAAAAATCATACATTATTAGCTATAGAAATTTACTATAGTATTTACATATTTTCAGATTAATTACAAGATCTTCTTGAAAGTATTAATATATTTATTTACTTTTGATAAAATTATATATATATTTATATGTTTAAATTATAAATTTATTCATAGCTAGTTTTGATGGCTGCACTCCAATAGACTTTATAGCTTTGAAATTTTGGGTTGAAGGACTAATTATTTGTAAGGAATTTTATGGTATAGTTTAATATTTAATTATAGATCCTTAACCATATAATAAAATTTTATGTAGTAAAAAAATAGAACAGCTTTCTTTGATGACGATGGTAATGTTAGTGTCTCAAATGGGTTAGACGAAAGTGGATTTCAACAAATATCAAATAAGAGTACTCATCATAATAGTATTCATAATTTATCTACTTTTAAAGAAATACAAAATATGCTCAAAGAAATTGTTGAAAAAGAGGAGATTGATAGAATTACACCAAATACTGCAAAATTTGAAGATGGAAATGTTATTTTTGAAAACCATGATTATTATGATTCTTATTATTATGATAGTATAAGGTTTGAGATAAACAACAATCAATCAAATCTATCTATTGTAAACAATCAAATATCACACTGCAGGTAGCTAGAATTGGAGTGGTAAAAAAAGTAGTAAAACGCAATGTAATCTGTGATAAAGAATTGGTCTTACCAATTATAGAACACTCTGGCACAACTACTTACCTTATGAGAAAAAGAACAAACTTCTATAGAGAGTTGGCTGAAACTTGGAGTATATGTAATAAAACTGACAAAATAGCTTGTGATATCAGGCTAGAAGTGTAGCAATTTATGAAAAAAAGAGAGAACACCAATACTCTATTGGAAATAACTCTGTTATAATTATTCTCTTACTCTTCCATAACACTAACTAACAGGAGTATCTGTTATCAAGAATTAGCAATGCATACAACATGCAGATAATATTAATATACTATACTCTTGCTGGACAGCTATAGTGCTGTCTCATCAGTTGAAACTTTGTCAAGTGTATGCTTAATATTTGCACCAATAGTTGATGTAAAATCTATAGTAGTTTGATAAAATTTGAAATAAGAAGGCAAGTGGTCTTACCAATTTGTGAATAACTATTTTAGTTATAAAAGCCACCTAGTAGACACCTAAAGAGGGAGTTGCATATGGTGAGTATAAGAAATGTAGTATATATACAAATTGGGATAATCATTAAAAATCCAGATAATACATAAATGAGATATAGAATACTCTAGTAGATTTAGGTTACAAATAGTAGTTAAGACCTGTCTGAGCCATAATATACTTAATAATAATATATAAATAATTGTATCACATAATATATCCAAAATATACACCTTAAAAAAAATAAAAAATAAAAAAATAGAGATCTTTTTTAGTATAGCTGGGCAATATAGAAATATTATAAGATTATAATATAAAAAAACTCTATCCCTAACCCTAAACTAGCTTAAATATAAACTATAAGCTTACTCTAACTCTAACCATTTCCAAATTTGCTTAAATTAGATTGGATAGTTATTTATTTATAGGGTTAGCATATTTCTACTGTAGTATTTTGCTATTTCCACTATAGGTTATACAAGATTTTATTTTTTTATTTATTTTTTTTTGACTCTTATACAGCTTTGCCAGTACTTTATTAAGATTCAAAATACATCTAAAATATATTTGTTTACTTCTAATTTGCAAGTCTGACA